GTAAACATTACACTAACCAATTGATTGATCAAATTTAAAAAGTGTACATGGCAAGCTTGACAGAGTGAGAAATGCATTTCAACTTTTATTTATTTATATAGCACATTTAATTGCAATGTTGTTGCCCAATGTGCTTCACAGTTACATTAAAACATACATTTATAAAAAAACATTAGCAGCATTATCACCTCAAATGCTCTCTACTGTAGAAAACTTATTTCCAAACCTTTAACCAGAAGCCGGCCAAACTGTCACAAATTCAAAATTAGATTTCAAAATAGGGCAGAGAAGAGAGCGGTTAAAAACAAACTGCTCATTAGTGCTCACTTCACTGGCATCTTCAAATGGTTGTAGTTTTAAAAAAACTATAAATCCTACAGCGAAGAGCTTTATATTGTGAGAATTACAAGACCCAGACCTACATTTTGAAACCTAGTATGTCTCTGAAATATTAAAAATGAAGGCACAGTCGCAGTTTAGAAATTGCCCTTCAAATTTGAGGTGGCTAGAGTGAAGTTTCAATGAATGTCAATGGGCGGCGTGAGTTGCTAACAAATGGTCATATTTTAAAAAACTATCAGGGCTATGGCTTAGCCGTGGACATTTTTAGTGGCAGCAGGGATAGCTGAACGTTTTGATTTGTGTAGGTGGGCTTGAAAATGAGGGAGTGATGGCAGTTTAGAAATCATGTCCTGATTTTTCAGCTCACACTCTAGCTTTTGTCAGCTCCCACTCTAGTTTTAAACATTCCGCAATTCATTCCTATGGGACCAATTTCACCACAAAAATGGCGATATTTCGTGAACCATTCGGCGAAATGTTCCACAAAGTAATAGCACACCAATCGGGAACAATCTGCACGTTTCAGTATATTACTGTCTCTAGTGTAAAAACTGTGGGAGGAGTTAGGGTGGTAAATTTGGCTATAATAATAAGAATATATATGTGAGATAACAGTAAGTGGTCTTGCCATGCAAGAACACTTAATTATGGAACCATGATATGCACTTGAAATGTGAGCACTTAAATAAATTCTTGGACTAATATATGGACCTATGGTGTGCTTTCTTCTTTTATAACACAAGAAGACACAACCCAATCTTTCCCAGAAGATTTTAGACTACCTGTAATTTATTGCTCACAATACAATAATACGAATGTCAAAAAGAGGTTGAGCGTTTTTTATTTTACAGAAAATGAGAAAGGGCAAGCCAAGGGGCCAAGGCTACACACTCTATGCTTCTATAAATTTAGTGCAATCATTTTGCAGTTTGGAAAGATTGTTATAGGTAACCTCCATACTGCTCCCATGACACATCATCTTTATTAGCAGAACTTGCCTCTTGTATTCACAAACAACACCGACGACCATCCTCCTTGCTGACTTTAGGATTAATGCTCTGTTGTACCATTTTTCTAAGCTTCAAAGGTGCCTGTTCTTGGATAATTGTTGTTTACAACGTCGGTGTAAACAAGAGGCACACGAAAAATGTAAATTACTATAACAGAGGTGGTTTTTCATTTTGAAATGTGTGCGTTTCTCAGCATGATTGAGCGTAAAGGGAGATGAAAATCCAGCAAAAAATAAACCCGAGCAGGAGGAAGGAATAATCTTTTTTTATTGCAGGTCCTATAACTCTCCATTCAACATGCAATGATGAGATAAAGTGAACTGTGTATGGGACAGTAATTCATCTTTTATATCAGGAGCAGATTCATACAGCTTTGTCCTCAGTTCCTGGCAGCTAATTTAGAGACCTGCTTACACTTAAGGATGAACTTTTGAATGAGATTATGATCTTTCTTCTATCTCGTAGATTTGGTTGTATTTCGACGTGTTTTCATTACCAGCTTCTCAGTGATACTGGGATTTATGGATGGATCTATAATGCACTGTGTGCAAGTGGATGGAATTTTTTTATAGCACACTTCGTCCTCTACATGTTTTCACAATTGCATTTTCTAGAGATACTATAAAATTACCTTCTTGTAGCTGTACGTGGAAGCATTCATTCCTATTATTAGTACCAATTTATAAGTTCATTAAAAAAAAAACAAAAAACCCTTTAACCCTAGATGTTCCACTTTTTTTTCTAATGTGGGTCTCAAGTCAGTGAGAAAAGCAGGTTCCTATACATATTCAAATCAAACTTTTGCTCTCAAAATTTAACTTTCCTCCCTGCAAGCCCCCCTATCAAACAAAATTAAAAGAACCTTTTATTTGTTGTTTGCTCATTTTTTTTTCTGGACTGCCCTCTGCTTCTAATGTATCCTGCTCCTGCAGTCTTCTGGGGTATTCTCATACCAGATCCTAGGAGGTTGCAAGAGCAGGGACATTTAGCTGGTGGAGGTCGGACCTGGTGTAGCATCACTGAGGGCTGTTTGCAAGAACCTGTAATAGACAGTCAGCTAAAAATTACGTGGGAAGAGAATATGGTGGTGTGGGACCTAGCCTGTGGCAGCAGAACAGTGGATTGCACTGGCTACCAAGGGTTTTGTATTATATTTATTTTCTAGTCTGCTAAATGTCATAAGCATCTGCATTACATTGGAGGGCTCTTGAGGCGGCATCCTAGAGCACCATTGCAGGTAATTAGTTATATTTGATTTATGGTGATGACATTTATCAAGGCTCCGTGTGTACATTTATGGGCTTTCTAGGACAATGTCTGTTCTAGTGTCACTGTTGTTGATATCAGTGATTTGCATATTGCTATTTACTACTCATAATGGCAATTTTCTTACTTTAGGGTGCCACTCCTTGCTACTTATATTTTTGTCTGTTTGAATGCTCATGTTGTCCATTTGGGAGATATAATCAAGCTTATATCCCTTAAGAATGTTTTTTTAAGCACCAGTATTCCAGTACAAAATGGCCTGGTAAGTAAGCTAACTCTTTCAGCTTGGTGATCACTTTTTTAGTGGATTCAAAATGTTGAGATCATGTTTTGTATTATTTTTAGCCATGGCATGGAATATTATATTCTTCTATGGCTCATTTTTGTGCTGAAGTGATCAAGCTATACAGTATATTGTATTTGAACCTATTGGCTGCTGCTAGCTGATGTCTATTTAATCTGCTATACCGGTATGCTAGGTCACTCAAGCTTGCGACTATGATTATTTTTATAAGTCTCATTCTTGTATATATTGATATATATTTCTTTAGCTAGGTCCATTTTTCCTTTAAAGCATATGGATGGTCCTGAGGAAGCAATTTGTGAAACATGTAGACCTACCAATGAGCTTAATCTTGAGGATATGTACAAACTCCTTTTTGTTATTTGTTATCTGGTGACGGAAGACAGAATTGTATACTAATGTAATTAGTTCACAATTTTTACTGTTCTCTTTTTAACGTGTTGTAAATAAAGTGTATCAATTTCATTAACTTTTGTGTTTTCCCTGGGTGCCAGTAAAGTCCATATATTTCTCTTAAAGGAAGTGATTCTTTGCTCTGCAAAATTATGTATGAACTCCAGTGTTTTATTTTTTCTAGTATCAAGTGGATGGGGCTAACAGGAGCTCATCTGGGAGAATGCAATACTCGCTGTGTAATAACAGCCAGGAGGTTGAGCTAAGTTCATTTGTTCAGTCCAACTAATATTAGTACATAAATCTGTCTTTTTAATAGCTTCCTGTATTCTCCTGCATAGCTGACCAGATTTGTTGGTTTGCTATAGGTTACTGCATACCAGTAACATTTGCCAAATGTGAATAAATGAGTTCACATAGTATGTGCAATTTTAATCAGCTAAATCTGATTAAATGTATCCAGGTAAATCTGCAGCAGAGCGGCCCCACTGCACTGGATCACCCACATGTACGTGATCTGGCTTTTCTGGGTGGGGAGCATGCGTGTGCGCCTACTGCCCCAGCTCTGTTGTCCTTTGCTACAGCACAAGCCAACCAGCAGGTCCTGGCCAATGATTTATGGCTGGGACCCACTGATCGGCTGAATGAATGACAGAAGAGAGCCCTGTGTTGGTAAACAACACAGGGCACTGTACAGAGTACAGCAATACTGCTGCTTTTTTTCTTCCTACAAAGAAGGGAGATAAAAGAGTCATATTTCTTCAAGCAGCATACAGTACACTTGTTAGTGTCATCTAGTGAGTTCCCACCCAGCGTTAGTTAGTGTCAGATTGCCCACCAGACTATCACAGTCCCACTATAAGTCGCTAATCACTGCCATTACTAGTAAAAAAAAAAAAAAAAAAAATTCTAGTATATATACTGTCATTTGTAGATGCTATAATTTTCACGCAAACCAAGTAATATACACTTATTGGGATTTTGTTTTTACCAAAGACATGTAGCAGAATACAATTGCACCTTTATTTTCTTTCCAAAACAAAAAAAGTAAAATTATGTAAATATGTGTAAACATAAAAGCATAAGGGTATTTTTCACTCAGGGAGACAAACAGAAATAAGAATAAATACTGTAAGTACAAATATATAAATATTCCCTGCACATACTTCCACATGCCAAACCTTTGGGTGCAAAGTTTATGTTTGTACCATCAACTTCAAATACAATACGCAAAGGCGACTTAAAGTTGCATGTCACAAAGAAGGAACATGCAACTAGCAAAGATTGCATATTTCTTAATCAGTGTGCAGGCCAATCTCTGCTTTTCAAGAAATTGACATACACTATATCACCAATAGTATTGGGACACCCCTCCAAATCATTGGATTCTGGTGTTCCAATCACCTCCATGACCACAGGTGTATAAAATTAAGCACCTAGGCATGCAAACTGATTCTTCAAACATTTGCAAAAGAATGGGTCACTCACAGGAGCTCAGTGAATTCAAGCGTGGTGTAGTGATAGGTTGCCACCTGTGCAATAAGTCCATCCGTGAAATTTCCTTGCTACTTAATATTCCACGGTCAACTGTTAGTGGTATTATAACAAAGTGGAAGCAACAGGGAACAACAGCAACTCAGCCAAGAAGTGGTAGGCCACATAAAAGGACAGAGTGGAGTCAGCACATGCTAAAGTGCACAGTGCGCAGAAGTCTCCAACTGTCTGCAGAGTCAATAGCTAAAGACCTCCAAATTCATGCGGCCTTCAGATTAGCACAACTACAGTGCATAGAGAGCTTGATGAAATGGGTTTCCATGGCTGAGCAGCTGCATCCAAGCCTTACATCAGCAAGTGCAATGCAAAGCATCGAATGCAATGGAGTAAAGCACGCCACCATTGGACTCTAGAGCAGTGGAGACATGTTCTCTGGAGTGAATAATTATGCTTCTCTGGCAATCTGATAGATATGTCTGGGTTTGGCGGTTTGCCAGGAGAACAGTACCTGCCTGACTGCATTGTGCCACGTTTAAAGTTTGGCGGAGGGGGGATTATTGTGTGGGGTTGTTTTTCAGGGGCTGGGCTTGGCCCCTTAGTTCCAGTGAAGGGAACTCTTAAGGCGTCAGCATACCAAGACATTTTGGACAATTTCATGCTCTCAGCTTTGTGGGAATAGTTTGGGGGTGGCCCCTTCCTGTTCCACCATGACTGCTCACCAGTGCACAAAGCAAGGTCCATAAAAAACATGGATGAGTGAGTTTGGGGTGGAGGAACTTGATTGACCTGCACAGAGTCTTGACCTAAACCTAATAGAACATATTTTGGATGAATAAGAGCAGAGACTGCGAGCCAGGCCTTCTCGTCTGACATCAGTACCTGACCTCACAAATGTGCTTCTGGAAGAATGGTCAAACATTTCCATAGACATTCTCCTAAATCTTTTGGACAGCCTTCCCAGAAGAGATGAAGCTGCTATAGCTGCAAAGGATGGGCTAACTCAATATTGAACTCTATGGACTAAGATTGGAATGCTGTAAAGGCAGGTGTTATAATACTTTTGGCAATTTAGTATATTATAGTGCCACCCCATTCTTTGCAAAACTAGTTTCTGCCTGGAGTTTCACTTTAACATTTCGTACATGTTTACAAAATAACAATTTAACTGTCCTGCCTTGTCAGCAACGTGACGCTGGGGATTTCAAGTTTAATGCCCTATTCATCTGTGAATATCAGCCATCTTTAGATAACAAAGATATATGAAAAAACATTACAGAACACTAATTATTGCAGCCAGCAAAGTGTATCAATAATGACAATCGATTCAATGCATTTCCTTCAGCCTGATTCCACTTGTGAATAGCAAGTTGTCAGAACACATTTCTCAGATTTATCCACTTGAAGAACCTTTGATTTTAGGGACCTGGTTAATTGCCTAAAAGCAATGGTCCTAGGTTACAGCTACCTAGATTAAAGTTAGAACGGTGTAATATTTTTTAAACTGTTCTTTTTTAATTTACTCTGTTCACTAATAATCATGAGCAAGTCAGCCTGGGTTCGATTCACAGGCCTTTCACCAAACTCAGTCTGAAATCTGCAAACCCCAAAAATAGCACCCACAACTAAATGAAGTCAATTTAAACTGAATCTTATTATTTTTTCCCATCCCTTTTTTTGGAGTCCTAGCAAACAAGGGGTGGTAAGCTGTCATTTATCAGAGATAGTGACACTTCCACTAAATGAACAATTTCCAGCTGCAGCAGGTTTGATCTGGAGGGCAAACAAGCTGAATCTGGACATTTAATTTGTTCATTCAGCGAACTGCAAGCATGTAAAGTTCAGGTCAAACAAGCACTTAAACCTTGTTGCTATTCCTAGGCCTATTAATCAGTATATAGCCATACCTGCTTTGCCAATGTTCTAGTTTATTTGATAAAGAGAGCACAAAAAATATTGAAGCCAATTAGGCTACATTCACATGGGTGACTAGCCTCTTTGGGAATGCAGGTGCTGCCCGCTCGCAGTACAAGTACTGTGGGTGGGCGGCAAGCGGTTAAAGTTGATTTCCAAACAAACCTTCTTTTTCCACTTTTAGATAAAGTGGGAAGGGACTCAAACCTCTGTCCTGTTTTATTTGCAATCTGTGTCCCCACTGGATAGCACTTTCTCTGCTTATAACAGTGTGTAACACAGACAGAGACATCAATAAATATTCATTTTCTATATAAGTGGGAAAGAGTTAAAACTTCTGTTAGATTTTTATGGCTCTTTTCACCTTATTGCTCTAAGACAACTAAGCATTTACCTAAAGCACAGTTTTAGGAAAACGTTTGTGACTTTCATATAAAAGGATTCTAAAATGTAATCTTATCTTCATTTAGGTCACTGTTAAAATGGCACTATCTAACTAGCAACATACACATCATTTTATATGACTATGTGTTTAATGAATAAATGTTTTAAACAATCAACATAATTGATGAAACAATCAAGTGAACCTCTAGGATAATGACATCTTGAAATATATAAAACTGAACTTAAAGCAGAACTTCACTCTCTCTCAATCAACATTGACTATTTTTAATCCTTATGCACCTAGCATTAGTAAGGTATGTTTTATTTACTTGTTTTAAACTTTTTTTTTTACATTTCTTCAGTTACTTCCTCTTTCCATGTCTAGGCAAATTATGTCATACATCCTAGGAGTCTTCAGGAGGGGAGGAAGGACTTTCTCAGCTAAGCACACCCTCCTGCCTACATGTCTGAGCTAAGGGCAGATTGATTCCAGGAAGTAAATGCTACATAAATCATCAGCAATTAATCAAGATGGCCACAGCCAGAAATTCTAGAGGATGTTTTTCAAAGTAATGGAGACATGGGTGGATTAAATGTGAATTAATTAGCATTTTTGGTGCTCAGATGCATTGCAGTTCCACTTTAAGGATTTCAATAAACAATTCAGATGTTGCAAATTTGGTGTGGGCTTGATTATGCTCTCTTCCATTTAAAAAAAAAATGACGTTGTGGTCACTTGCACTGTACAACAGAATATTCCTGAACTGCAACATAACGTGACAAAATTTGATTTTTGAGATTTTAACAATGGAGGAAGTGTATAGCAATGTTTACTCTCTCAGGGTATATAAAGAGTAACAGCTAAGCATCTGAAGACATCCCTTGATATAATCTGCATCTAAGTCTATATTAGGAAAAATGCTTAAATCTGGTATTTACAAGTAATGAAGCCACAGCTGTCCAAATAAATTGCCCTGTATTGTACATTTGCAAAAGACCGCTTGGATATTTCACAGCACCAATGAAACAATGCATTCTGGACCTACTAATAGAAGTAAGTATTTTACACACCACTCACAACATTATGTTTGGAGACTGAAACAGTGAATATCAACACCATAAACCCATAATAAACCCATTTGCAAAGCAAAATGGAAAGAGTATAATAGTAACAGACTGCTGTGGCATTTCAAGGCCTGGAAAGCTTGCAATCTGTTCCAAGTTGTATGAAACTGTATTGTAGAATGTAGGAATGGTTGTATATAATCTAAAACCCAAAATAGGATAATTTACAAAACATGATATGGCAATGATGCAAATAAAGGAATGATGCCAACATATTATAGAATGAGTGGAGTCTTGCCCTTAGTGCCCTTATAATGCTGTTGAATTATTTGTAGCAGATCATTTCTCCAAGACTACCTAAATTCCTTTTTAAATGAAACGCTTTGTATACGGTAACAAACCAAAATAACACAGAACTACATCATTGGTAGATAAGAAAGTCTGTGGTTGAGGTTATTGCTAATAATTAATTTGTAAAAATTAATTACAAATTAATAGTTTACATGATTTGTTCCGTAAAGACGGCAACATGAAATGTTACAAGTGTGGTTTGCTAAATCATTTTATTTTTATATTTTTAATAAGACTTAGCTTAGAAAAATCTTAAGGCAATGCATGCAAAAATAGAGACAATTCCTAAGGCTTCCTAAACTTCAAAAAGTGTAAAATGTGTAAAAGAGTACACAAGACCGCTATTTATTACACTTTGAAAGATCCAAAAGAATCCAGGTAATCCATTACATTGTGAATTTTACATAATCTCAGACACTAAGAATTTTAATAAAATTGACCTAATGAAAATGTTCACTATAAGTTTATAAATGTATTGAATGAAACTTATTTATAAAGGAAACTTAATTTCAGTGCCATTTTTATCAGTTGCTCTCCTTTAAATGTAAAAATCCTTAAATATAAAATTCTGAACATTTTTGAAGATGTTCTACCTCTTTTCATGTAATGCTTCAAGGGTCTGTGATAGCTCTGCCTTGTTACAGAGGCTCAAATTTGACATTATACACCATTATGTATTGCTTTAAGACTGTGCACTGTACACATTGACTGAGGCAATCCATGCAATGCTGCAGAAGGCAAAGTTAGGAGAATATATGGCTTGACTAATTTAACTGAGGACAGGCTTGCATTTTAACAGGCGGAGTAAGTCAAAGTAGGGAAAAAAACAACAGTAAAGAAAACAATCATTAAGGTTAAACACACACTGCAATTCTGTTGTATTTATTGCTGAAAATTCACTTTTAAAATTGAATTACATTTTAAAGGTGGACACTCATAAAGAATTTCACCCAATCTGAACTGGAGAAGTCACTTTTGTGATGAAACAGTTACCAAGAGAGATCTATTCTTGACAATGTCTTTCCATTACATCTCTCCCTATTATCAAGAAAAACATCTAATAGGTTACGCTAACCCTATGGATTTGGTGAAGTTCCTTGACAAAGCAGAGCACACATCTAAAAAAAGTTGTAAATTTAGCAGCAACCTCCAAATGAACCTGTTATGGAAAAATACTTCACAATTCCAAACACCTTTTTTGAAAATTCTGGTTGCCTGGGTACCAATTCTCCTCCATGTTCACTGCTGGTGAGTTAGGAATCCTAGAAAAAGTATGCAGCTATTGAGTTTTAAGCCACCAAGCTGCACATTTGCTTACTTGTTTAAGACAGCTTGCATTATCAGAGGTTTTGCGATTCCTATTACATTTTAAAAAATATATAAATTAGATAATATAGGTGTTCAGAAATTGAGTCTATTTGTGTGCAAAGATCATTGCAGTTGACCAAGATATAGAGTGCAGGATCCTCTTTTCCTTTTCTTGTATACTAGAGTTACATGTCATTATGGATCCTTGATCTTGAGAAGTGCCACTGCAATAAAGTAAAAAGATGGCAATATCTTCTTAAAAAAATGCTTCCTGGACTAGAAGGCTTTTACAAATTTTTCCTATTACCCACACTGCTGAGGTAC